GAAATGCTGACTCAAGTGGCCCAAGATGGTTCTCCCTCTCACCTCCCTCCTTTCCAGGCACAGCCACATGCCCTGAACAAGGGCACTGCTTAAATTCAGCTCCAGCCACATCCATGCATAGGAATTTCATATTGTTTGTTACTGAATATTTGTTATTATTTCTACTTTTTTCAACACAGAGCAATTGTTACAGCATTAAATTTGATACATTTCCTTCCTGTCTCTCTTTGAAAATAATATTATTTATTCCAACCAAAATATTAAGTGTCACATGATTCCATCCTGTAAAGTTTGATATTCCAATACCTATGATTGTGCCCCAGAGTTTGACCTTTGAAACAAGAGCAAATTCTTTTAAGTTTGTTCTTCAATTGATCAATAATTTCTCATGCTTTACTGTTAAACTCTTTTAAAATGGTAGTAAATTTAAAAACACATTGTAGGGGGCCCGCCCATTTGCTCAGTTGTTTAAGTGCTTGCTTAAAAAAACAGTGAGGCTCAATTTCCACTCATTCCAACCCAGATACTCCAGCCAAACCAGAAATGCCCTGAGGGCATGTTCAGGCCTCAAAAAAAAATCATTGCTGAAGCATATACAGTTTTCCCTTATGTTCTTTGGCCTTCAGACTATGTATAGTGCTCTTTGTTTTCTTTTGATGTTCTTTTAAATTACAAGGTATCATTAGAGGTTCAGTGGTCCCTGGGAAACAGGCATCACATGGATGGTGTTGTACTGCTTGCTCCTCGGGTCTCTACCTTCTCATGACACTTGTCACTAGTAACAGCTTGGTTTAGCATTGAAGTTGCACATGGTGGGTTAAATTGTTAGTCCAATTTGTGTGCCAAGGGGCTCAGGGTTTTGTTTGCTATCATGCCCAAGATTGCACTTCAGGAGTACTATGATTCCCTAGGTTTCATATATAAATCAAAGTTAGAATCTTTCTATAATTGTTACCATGTAAACACAAGTATTAATAGGCACAATTTGGCCATTGCACTCTGCAGATACACTGTTAAACAGGATGTTGTGCACAATAAATACAAGTTTACTTGTCCATTAAGAACTAAATTTATATTTACAGTGATGCTTTCTGAGGTGAAAACCCCAGTTCCAATCTCCCAACCACACGACTGTTCGTATTATATATGTGTGTTAAATACACTTCTGAAATGTCTTCTTCCAAAACACTTTGCTCTGAATTCAAATATTCTTATCAATTTTATCAGTGTCCAGCCCATGTTAAGCTCATTTTCTGGTTAAAGTGTGCATAGTGTCACACCCAATGCTCTAGTGTGTACTCGAGCACAACACTCCCTAGGAAGATCCCTTGTTTCCAGAAATGAATTATTACACTGAGAAGTGGAAAATGTCAAGGAATGGAAAAATGAATAAGCCTAGTGCTAGGGATATCAGATCCAGACGATTATGAAGAATACATTTGAAATGCACATGAACCATTGTGTGATAATCATTGTAACATGCAGAAATAAAATGAAAGAGTTGTAATTTATTATTCATGGAATCTAAAATAAGTGAGAGTATTTTCTGAAAGGTCATTCAGCATAGAAAGGTAATTACATTCATTTGAAAAGGAGCCTCTATTTTGGCACACCCATTGAGAGTGCTCTCACTCAGACATGTCACTAAAATTCTCCTTAATATGACCCAGTGGCTCAACTCTTGAATACCATGACTTAGTACAAAACATGTAGAAAAATCAGTTCTAAATCTGAAAAATGCAGTTCATCATGATTCGAACTTCCATGATGATTTTTTCCTACAGAAGAATGCAGTAAGAGGTTGAGCTGAAATATTTGCAATATTAAGCTGAAACCAATCTCCTACTCATTCTGGTTGGTTGGTAATGTGTCCATTTTCTGTGACTGCCACAGAATTGATGAATTAGAGTGATCAGTTTAAAAAGAACAGGGATTCATTACACTATGCTTCCAGTTGCCGAAGTCCTTGACCCAAGCAAATGCTGGCCTGTAAAGAGTGCCCCACATTAGGTCATGCAAAGTGGCTATCCTCCTGCGCTTAGATGCAAGTGTCCAGGGAAGTAGTCACTCTTATAACAAAGCCACACACCAACAATCTGCTAATCCATTATGCCATTAGAGGGTTAGTCTGCCCAAGAAGAGGTTCTCATGACCCAATCACATCCCAATATTTACATTGCAAAGAACTATTATTTGAGATCTAAGTTTCCAACAGGAGAAATTGGGAGGAAAAACTCAAACCATCTCAGTTGATGAAAAGAAAGTTATACATGTGTAGAATCAGACCACATTTGGTAAAACAGTTAACTGATTAAAAGATTTCCATACTGGGGCCAGTGAGACAGCTCAGTGGTCTAAAGTGGCTTCTTAAGCAAGTTTAGGCAGGTGCAGCGACTCTTGTTTGATTCCTGGCATCACATGCCATGTGAATCCTGCCACCAGGGATTGTTGAGCAGGTCACACACACACAAAAAAAAAAAGGTTGGCGTACAAATGGTAGAAACCCAGAGTATAACCCTGCTAGCTTATGTGACAGAAGGAAGCCGTGTCAGAAGAGTGACAGGCTTCCCCTGTGTGAGAGATAAGACCTCGTGATGTGTCTAATAGACAGGTGAAAAATCATATTGACAGTAGCATCCTACATCCCATAAGAGAGCAGAGCCATGCCACAGAAGAGCCACTGTGTCCCCCACGAAATAGCAACCAATGTGAGAGCAGCCCTAATCCATGCACAGGGAATCACTACTCAGGAGAGCAGAGTCAAATTCTACACATCTGACAGAAACATAGATGAGGAAGGCACCCAGGCTGGGAAGAGAAGGTACAGACCTCATCACTGTTGACATTAAGTCTACCAATCCAGTTGCACATTAACCTAGCAACGTGTGTCCTGCAGAAAACAGAGGCTGTTTGTGATTTTCATCTACTAGTGAGAGGAAAGACACACCCTGGCTTGAGTGTTAGACACAGTCAGATAGGAAGGAACAGAGGGGACCCTAGAGCAAGAGGGACACTTCAAAGACTCAGAGACCCTAATGTTGCAACCAGTCAAGCATGGCGAGCTGGGCCCCTAGAGTGCAGATCTTATTAAGAAACAACTCAGTCCATAACATAAAGTTTGGTTTACACTCAACCTTTTTTTCTGTTATATGTTCTTGTTTTTCTTCATTAGATTTTGTAGGCTTTGAGGTTTCTAATCCTACGATTTCACTCTGCTCCTGTAGTTCTGCTTTTGCCTTTTCCTTTCATTCCACCAATTTTTCTAATCTTTCTTCCTAATATTTTATCTTGTTTTTCTGTGTCCTTATTAATTTCTTTCACTCCCTACCTCACATTTATCTCCTCCTCCAATTTCATTCACCCATAATTCCAAAACATTTTCCATTTCTTCATTTCAACTCTTTCTCCTTTCCTAGTATAACTACTAAACTTTATGAACCTCTGCAAAAATAGTACATATCACACTATTGCTATTAAACAGTTTTCCCATTTTGTAGAGGTATTGTTTTTTTTTTTACTTAGTAGACACTTATTATAGTAGACCATGACAATCTCAAGCATGTTGGCTGAGGTACATTGTGCACCACCAGCAGCAACAGCACTTGTCTCAAATGTTCTCCAGAAGTTACAATTTATAATGTCTTTTTAGAAGATGGGAGGGAGATCTACCACCTTTTCTTCACATGCCCATCAATGGCATCAAAGACCCAAGGAAAGTCACAGAATACAGTACAGTTTAGCCAGTGATAAATCTCACATAATCAGTGCTATGCTAGACAGCTCCCATACATAGCACCACGTATTGGGGACTAGTGTCAATCACCCTGGCTCAGAATCCTGTATCACCCCCTTAAGACACACATGCAAATTAGGATAGGTGCTAGCAGAATAAACTCCTGTCACCAGCTAGGCTGCTGTGGAGTTCTTCATCCTGTGGGCAACATGCAGGCAATGTGGACCCTTCTTTGTCTGACAGCTGTTCCCCTGGGTGAGGGTCATGGGTTCTCCAAAAGAATAAGGGGTCTGGATGTGGGAAGGGAAAGACTCACCATGTCTCCTCTTGTTCTCAGGTGTGCTGTCTGATCTGACACTTCAGGAGTCAGGACAGAACCTGCTGAGGCCTGGAGGTACACTGTCCCTCACCTGCACTGTCACTGGGGGTTCTGTCACTAGTAGTTACCGGTGGAATTGGATCCGCCAGCCTCCTGGGAAAGCTCTACAATGGATGGGATATTGGACAGGTAGCACAAGCTACAACCCAACTTTCCAGGGTCGCATCTCCATCACTGCCGACACAAGCAAGAACCAGTTCTCCCTCCAGCTGAACTCCGTGACCACAGAGGACACAGCCATGTATTACTGTGCAAGAGGCACAGTGGGAGAACTTCAGGGTGAGTCCAGACACAAACCTTCCTCCAGGTGTGCTTTTGACCTGCAGGGGGCGCACCTGACCACCAAATGGAGAAACCAGCTTCAGGAGCAAGAGTGGTGAGGATGTCTCTTTCAGAGTCTTGTGTGACCCTCCCTACTCACACCATCCCATTCTACCATCATCCATTCCTTCAAGTCTGTCACGTAGGTATTTACATGACTCACTCCTCATTTCCACCACTCTTGCTGCCTATGGAGATCTCTTTCATTTCTCTCAAGATCTAATTTCTTCTCACCAAGCTACCAACTCAGCACTAGATTCTCAAGTCCTCACTTAGTGTTTCCTTATGGCAACCCAATTAGGGCACTATCTTTGCATGTATGCAAGTTTACTTCTGCCACCCACCTTCTCCTCTTGCTCTTTTCTTTTTTGCTATCAATACAGACAAATGCTTTCATAGCAAGACATGGGGTGTGTTTCCTTCCTGCAGCCCTTTGAAAATATATCTAATATTATCCATTTACATTATTTATTTCTGCTTTGGTGTCTAAAGTCAGGGAATCACTTCATTGTGAGAATGCATATTTCAGAACCTACAATAATAATGTATGTTTTCTTATTTTTCACATTAGAAAATCTTTCTTCTCTTTATTGTTGATCCACTTTGCAGTACTTGAACATTCAAAAGGGCATTTTATCTGTTTCCTCCACATGTTCACATCCTTTCTTTGGTGTTCTAATTGCCTGCAATGCCTGTTTTACTTCCTATCACAGGATTTTAGTTACAAGGCTTGTTAGGGGTGTGGTGGGCCCCTATGCTTGGACATCACATGGAGGGAATCACATGGTCTTAGTATTCTCATGGAGTCCCTCAAGGGTCACATAACTTGGTATTGCTTCTCCATATAGGGGATCAGGCTCCTGTCCCACCTTGTGGGCATCTCAGTGTGAATGTATGCCTTTATATCTTGTACAGTTTGGTACTTAGTGAATATTCCTATCCAGTTTCATGAGTGAAGCAACAGTGCATACAAGCCGTCTTCATCCACTGGGGAGACCTAGAAGACGTGAAGCTGATGGAAGCATCCTCAGGAGATGTAGGGAAACATCACATTAAGATCGGTTCTGTGCACACTTCACATGCTTTTGATCGCTGGCCAACTTCACCTCTGTTAAAAATTCCCAAAAAGTTCTACAGTAGAAGAATCATTTTCAATCCCTGTTGCCAAGGAATAATGGAATCATTGTCCTAACAATCCTTGGGATCTTGTTTGGCCCATTTTAGATTCTTAGCCTTTGTGATTAATGTTTATTGCAAAGTTTTATAAATGTATATTTTCCTACAAGCCACAATGAAAAATTAGAGTCCTAAATAGGCTTTACACTTTCTATTTCATATATATATATATATATATATATATATATATATAATGAAATATATATATTATATCTTAAAAGTTCATGAGCTTTTTCTTGATTTCAATAAAAGTATGTTTAAATATTCTTTAGTTTGCATTTTCATTTCAAAAAGGTCAAAGAAATCCACAATGTATAGTTGTATCAAACCTAAGTGATCGTTTATTCTGTTCCTGAAAAGTGACAAAGTAGATTATATTTTTATATCAAAACTGTCTATTTTATGAGAATATGCATGTGAATCTGCTAAACTTAGCCACTATACAATCAATGCATATGTACTTCAATTTATCACTGTTTTAAAGCAATCACAGAATTGAAAATTTCCTTTCTGACTGCTGCAATATCATTGCTTTTAGATACATATATTTAAGTATTGATGCATGAAGCCTTATTATATTATGCATTACAACTCCCACAGTATTATTCATCGAATTAAAACTGAAATTAAAGATGGACAATGTTAATGTAAGTACAACATGTGACTACAAAAACCTCAGCAAAGATAGTTTCCAGAATCTCAAAGAGCAGTAACAGCTGGCAGGTATATCAAAGTGACAGTTAACTAAATAATCATAATATGTAGATTCATGTCATATGACATTAACAAAATGCAATATATAAAAACACTCACAATAAAGTGTTATCTTTAGGTCATTTATACTCATTTTATTATTTGTTGTACTGTAAGTAATCTATATGTCTTGAATCACAACTCCTTATCCCAAGAAAGGCATGTCTTCATTAGACTTTATGATATGAAAACTTGAAATCAAATGTGGAACATAAAGGTAAAAAGCATAAAGGATCAAATCCAGTTTCTAAGGATGCTTCGCAAGAGAAGAACAGTTCTAAAAATGTGGGATTCTAATAAAAGCCATATTTCCCACTAATGCAAGAACATAAAGGAGAATACTAGGGCAACTCAAGTATAAATTACAAAGTGAGCCTCTCTTATTCAAAGCACAAAACAAAGCAGCCACCACCAGAGCTTGGAGAGCAACCACGTGTCACACACTCAATAGGTGGACTCAGGAGGAGCTCTGTGCATTTCAGGACAACGTGGGCTATATACCGAGAGAAAGGCCCAAATACGATCCTAATGGAAATAATGAATGGAAAGTTGATGTAAAGTTTGAATTTCAAAAACATTATAATTTTCACGTACATGGTGGAAATAATGCATAATTGTTCAAATAGGGATGTCCATCATAGAGTGAGCGATTTGAATTTAGGAATGACATCCAGAGAACAGTAAGAGAAGCTGAACCTGGAAGGGGAAAGATCACACAGTAGCTGCACAGGTTCATCTGGGGAAAATACTTGTGTTCCTGCTCTTCCACCATGACTAGAAATATCACTTTGACATAGATGCACGGAACACATCTTCATGTGCAGTGTCTGCAGGATCTAGAGTGTGAGGCAAGTGGTTCTCTAGTGACCATACAAAGTGCAGTGAAGAAAGCTCAAAGACAGGATGTCTGACCTCAGTGAGGAAAGGTCATGGAGACAAATAGGAATTTGTTCTCACTTCAATCCTAAGGAAGCAGAAGGAAGGGACACAGGCAGGGAGAAGGGGCTACAGGGAGGCAGAACTTGGAGCAGAAAGTTGCATTCATACCTAATACCCTGCCCTGATGCTCCCATCCCTCTGAAATCCTCATCTACTAGTCACAGGGACAAACAGGATATTTTGAAGAATTTTCCTCTCGGCAGCATAAAAGGACCAGAAACACCCTCACCTCTGTCTTCATCATTTAAGAAGAAACTTCTTGCATGAAATTTACCCTAAAACTCTAGGTTTAAATTCACTTCTTCAGGGCCAGCCAAATAGCTCAGTGGTTTAAAGCACCTGGAAGCAGGCACAGGGGCTGGAGGTTCAATCTCAGTGCCTGCTGTGCTGGCCCCACCCATGGGACACACTGAGAAGGCAATTGAGACGGGACATGGTGGCCTGCATCTGTAACCCCAGCACTTGGGAGGCTGTAAACAGGCAAATCACTATGAGTTCAATCTAGTAATGAGACCCTGAATGCTCTGTAGACACTCCCCCCCCCAAAATAAAATCACTTCCTTGGCAGTCAGAGCTTCTGGTTCTCTCTAAAACTGATGATGTGGTCTCAGGAAATGCAGGGGGGTGGTCTAGAAGATGACACTTCAGAGTCTTATTCTAGAACTTATGATAGATCTCCAAAGTGGGTGTAGTCAGTGATGGACATGGGTTCAACATGAAAGCAGTTGACCAATGGGAAAGTAGTTCTTGCCCCATGGTGTCCTGTCCCAGGTGCAGGTGCAGGCATCTGGACTGGCCCTGTGAAGTGCTGACAGACCCTGTCCCTCACCTTCTCAGTCTATGGATTCTCCATCACAACCCTTGGTCACTGGTGAAACTGGATCCATCAGACTCAAGGAAAGAGTTTGGCTTGGATTGGGACATAAGCTGCATTGGTGGCACTAGCTACATCCTGGCCATCGAAAGCATCATCTCCATCTCCAGAGACACAACCAAGAATCACTTGTCCCTGAAGCTGAGCTCTGTGACCACAGATGACACAACCAAGAACTACTGTGTAGGGAACAGTGGGCAGGTTTCAGCGTGAGCTCAGACACAAACCTCCCTTCATGGACACTCAGGTTCAGCAGGAGGTGCTCAGCACACTGGTGTAGGGATCTGACTTCTTGGTAGATGAGGACAAAAGCCCAGAGGGTTTTCCTCACTTGATAAGAGTCTCCTTCTGGAGTCTCATCCCCAGAGATTCCAGCAAATTTTGTGTCTAGGGTCAAACATCGTTTTGTTTTCATGGAGTCAGACTTTTATCATTTTTTCCTATTTTATTATGTTTGGATAGATTTACTTTTCAACAAATTTATTTTTCTGAGCTCAGCTGATTGCATAGTTCTATAAAGTTTTATGTGTATTAACATGAAAATGATTTCCAATTGATTACACTTCTGCCCTCCATTCTCAGACACATCCCTGGGGAGTCTCATCCTAAAGGGCTCTTCCCAGTCCTGGCAGAGCTGAAGCATTCTTTTCTGAATAATTGAACCCCATTTTGTATGATAATAGTGGTGTTCACACCTTATCAGATCTGTTCTGGTCTCCACCCATAAGGACATTGGGTAATGCCTCAGATCATTTGTCCTGAGTCCACTATGATGAGGCTTCTCCTGGCATCTTGTTGTTTGGCGCTGTGAGTGCTGTCACACATCTTAACATTCAAATAGTACACTTCCTAAAATTAGAGTTCCTGTCATGTATTTCAACTTTATGTTCCACTTCAGCACCAGAGAGAGGCAGATAGTGAGCACTCTCTGGGAAGTGGGGCCCACCCTTATACTCCTCAGGTCTGTGCATCATGAACTCACCTCCTGTGCACCAGATGGGGAGGGGGACAGAGAAAAAGCCTGGTACTTGCTAGGACAAGCGAAGCTGCCCACCACAGCATGTAGAGTCAACCCAGTGATGCTAGACCCAGCTCTGAGACGGACACCAACATGGCCACGTGAAGAGGTGCACAGCCTCACGTGCCTGAGCCCTCACAACCCCACAGCAACACCTACTGGGACCCTGGATTGTGGTTATGAGGAGCACAATAGCAGTGCTCCCACCTGGTGGTGAGAATTAATTCAAGCCATGTTACTGCAAATCATATTCATGAAATGGAATGCATGATTATTCAGTAAATTCAACAAAAATAAGTAACTTGAAAATACTGTGATGAAAACATTAAAATGATAGCAATGATGAAATAACAGGTGAATAAAATGACATTCTGCAGCATAATTTCTTCTTTGAAAATAAAATAACTTTTCATGAAAACATTAAAATTCTGAAACAAAAGATAACGTTTGGCTAAAACATAATGAAACATAAAGAAATAAATTCTTCTTCAAGAGAGAACCTTTAAAATTTGATATCACATATCTTAAAGGTCAATAATAGCAAAATAAAGGCCAATCAGATAGCTCAACAGATTAAAGTGTCTGTTTATCCAGAAACAGGGACAGGGGTTTGATTTCCCAGCAGGCCATGCTGGCACCATCCTTGGTGAACTCTGAGAAGACAATTCTGATTGGGAATGGTGGCACATGCCTATAATCCCAGTGCTTGGGAGGCTGAAAACAAGAGAATCACTATGAGTCCAATCTGTGTGGTGGGACCCTGCAGACCCTGTACTAAATACATTTGAAAAATAATAGAAAAATATTTCTTGCATATGCTAAATAAATTCTGGCAGACTCACTAAAGTGTTGGCAGCTATAATGGGTACTTGTATACAAGATTTATTACAATGTGTGTTGTATATCATATCAAATATTTGTTTCAATATGAAATTCAGAGTTAAATATTGGTGGAGCTGAGTGGGACCTTCTCTAACCTCTTTCTAATTCTTTTCTTTTTTAAAGTCAAAATAGGGAATTTTTTTTTTTTTAGTACAGGGTCTCACTGCCTAGATCAGACTTGAAGTGATCCGCCTGTTTTCAGCCTCTGAAGTGCTGGGATTACAGGTGGACACCACCATGCCCAGTCTCAATCACTGCCTCAGCATGGCCCAGGGGTGGGGCAAGCACAACTCGCCAGGAATCGAACTCGGGTCCTACGCCTGCCTGAGCAGAGCCTTTAATCCGCTGATCTATCTGGCCAGCCCAATGTAGAAAGTTATAAACAAAAATAACTGAGTTTTTTCAGTTAATATATAGTAAGGCACACATCTTCTCTTAACTGAGGCTTTCTACTTACATGGTCATCATGATTGCATAGGCACTGTTTTTTTTCTTTTGTTTTGTTTTTTGTTTTTTGTTTTCTTTTGGTGGAACAGGGACTTGAACTCAGACCCTTGTGCTTACCAGGGAAGTGCTTATTCCACTGAGCCATCTATATATACAGCTCCATTCTCTTAATTCAATGAACAGAGAGGTTTGTTCTAATACTGTTTAAAACAGGATATCAGGTCTGCATCTTCTACAATGAATGGCCACTAGGACAACAATATACAATGTATTAATTATTAAAAATATACTAGTAATCAGTTGTGAAACTGTCTCATTGCTATTTGTTTCTCTATAAAATATTTATTTATATATATATATTTTTTTTCTTTTTTATTGTGGACTTTTTAATTAATTTTATTGAGAAACTAATAGCAATGAGTTTCAAAACTGATTAGTAGGACAATTTCAATAATTAATCCACATGGCTGACATTGACAAAGGATCTACAACTGCAGTACAGGGTTTCAGGGTAAATGCTGAGGGGATTTGACTGACTTTGGCAGATACAAAAGTTACATTTCTTGTTACACAGGTCTTGCTTTATCTTGGTCCTAACCGCCCAGCAGAAAAGTATAAAAATGAGGTATAAAAAGTAAAGCCATGTTAATATGATGAGCTGTAAAGGCTCAAATCAACAACTTCTGACATTGCCAGTCCTACAGATAACCCACTACTGTTATAGACTACTGTACTCTCTTGGATTATTTTGCTGAATTCATGTACCTACAATATTTTAATAGTAATGGAATACCCATCTCTGACAAAGCTGAACAGAAAAAGGAGATATAAATGAAGGCCCATTTTGTATCTGTATATACAAAATAGTTAAGATAGATATATAGCTATTTTCTCTTAATTCAATGAGAAGAAAGATTTGTACTAATAGTGTTTGGACAGGATATCATGCTTACATCTTGTACTATGAATAACCACTATAAAGACAACAGTATGCAATGTATTAATTATTGAAGCCTCCATCTAATTCTAAACAGAGCCTATTCTTCTTCCTGTTCCCATTATCTTAAGAGAGGTGGAGAATAAAATAATAAAAGCATATAATGTCATCAAAGCTCTAGGCTAGAGCATGTGCATAGTGTATCTCTTAGCCTGACCTTGTGGTCACCTTTTCCCTACCTGAGTCTCTTTACAATTTCATAATATGCAATCCATGTCATAAATACAATGAAGATCACAGTGAACTTGGAGACAGGTTTACTGGATGAGAGCCCATGAGGTGACTCAGCCCTCTTGTCAATCATTCCTGTCAATCACACATAGAGAATCAGTGGAATGCCCCTAAGGAAACCTATCTGGACTTTAAAAATGTTTTTTCTATTTTAAGCAAGGATCTACAGGGAGCTCAGTGTCTCATTACTAGATCAGACTCTTAGTGATTTTGCTGTTTACAGCCTTCTAAGTGCTGGGATTACAGATGTGCGCCACCAAGCCCAATCACAAACACCTTCTCAGTGTGCCCCACGGGCAGGGCCAGCATGGCAGGACCGGGGGTTGAAGCCCTGGCCCCTACATCTGCTTGCAGGTGCATTATTCCACTGAGCTATTTGTCTAGCCCTTGGCCTTTAAATTCATAAAGCCTGATTGATTCACCCTTTTCCTTGTTGCTATCCAACCTTTTTCAGCATAGACTTGTATAGAGAGCTTTTCTGTCGCACACAGCCTTTCTTGGCAGTCCCTTACCGATATGTGCACTGAGCACAATTTCCCTGGATCTTCATTAAGTATAGCTTCCTATTACTACTGAGAATAAACTTCACAGTTCTCCAAGAGTAATACACAAGATCCTGGACTTACATAGGCCCATGCCAATGCAAAAAACCCCAAAAGATCATTCAGAAAAACTAACAGTTCTAACCATGTTTCTCTTACATTCTGGCCCAGACATGTAGGTCCACAAAACACTGAATAATGAAGTTGCCAACCAAAGAAGGAGGATAGGAAAGTTTCATTGGAAATATCTACTTGATGTTGAGAAGTGATCCCTGCTAGGTTGTCACATAGGCCCTCAATCTAGAATAACTTCTAAGTAAACAGGGACCAATAATTGCTTAATTGTTTAGTGGACTCAGTCATAGGCATCTCTGTGAAATAAAAAAAAATGACCATTTGAAATAGATGCCTGATTTCTTTACATATTGTTACTGTTAACTAGAACTTTAGAATGAAATAGATATTTTACAATATATTTTCCTCAAAATCTTTGGATTAAGTGGGCTGCATTCCATGTGACAGAGGAAACTCATTGTATTTTACATTCTTCAAAATTCAAAATTTATACATAAAACTAATAATACATAATACAAAAACCAAGGAAAACTCAGGAAACAGTGCTGTTTCTGGAAAGAGATTAGCAAACAGCTTTGTTTGCTTTTGTTGACTGAACAGGATGCAAAGGTGGATTAACTCTCAAAATCTAAATTAAAAATCCAATATGTTTTAATTCTTCTTCAACAAAAACACTTGATAACCCAATCAAAATGGAAAAGTGAATAAACACACTGGACCCAAACTGGCTTATGAAGTATCAGAAAATTCAAAGTGGTTTAAATGGTATAGCCCTTTACAATCAGCCTTACAAGGGAATGCTAAATAATTTGTGGAACAGCTCTGGTTGTCCCCAACTTGGCTAGAGGGGCTGGATTAGATGTGCTTCTAAAGAGCAGCAGAGACAAACATGATCTATGACTGCCATACATGGAGACTTTTCCTCAGGAATTGGCTCACCGGACCTAAGAGGTGGGAAAGCACCAGCTATGCAGTGTGGGCTGCAGGTGGAGACCAGTGAGCTGGAGGTGAAGGCAGAGCTGGAGGTGCAGACATAGCTGTAGGCTGTAGGCTGCAGAGTGCCTCCTGCTGGGTAATCCTGGTGGTTGGTCCTGCA